TTCTTAACTCTATATTCTGACTTCTGACCTCATTTTTTAACTGAAACTACTCTCTGTAGAGTTTCCAATGATCCCATAATTGACATTACCTAATGGCCTTGTCTCAGTCCTCATCCTAGTTGACTTCTCTGCAGCATTTGACACTCTCAATCACCTTCTTCTCCTTGGAATTCTCTTCTATCTAGGTTTTTGTGACACTGTTTATCATGGTTCTCCTCCTACCTTTCTGAGTTCTTCTTAGACTCATTTTTTTGGGGGTCTTCATCCATTCCTCCCACTAATTATGGGTGTACTTCCAGGTTCTTTCCTGGGTTCTCTTCTCTTTTTCCTCTATATATTTTATTTGGTTTTCTCATCAGCTGCCTTGAATTCAATCTGATGATCCTCAGATCATTTATCCACTCCTTGGATATATCTCCAACTGCCTGCCTATTGGTCATCTTCAATTGAATGTCCCATAGATGCCTTAAACTCAATATGTCCAATATTTTTTTCTTTCCTCCAAAGCCCTCCCCCCTTTCTATCTTTCCTATGACTGTTGAGGGCACAATCACCTTCTCAATCAGTTTTACCTTTGTAATGTCTCTTGTGTACTCCCTCTTCTCCCCTCTGACCCTGCTAACTCAGGCCTTCATTACCCTATTCATAGACTATTGCAATGGCCTGCTTGTGGGTTTACCTGCCTCAAGTCTATCCCAGCTCCAACAAATATTTCATTCACCTCTCAAGTTGAGCTTCCTAAAGTATAGGTCTAACCATGTAACCCTCTCCTTTATTTGATAAACTCCAGTGGCTCCCTATTACCTTGATGATCAACTAAAGAATTCTCTATTTGTCATTTAGAGTTCTTCATAACCTGGCCTCCTACTAATTTTCCAGACTTCTTACACCTTACTCCTTCTCTCTCTTTCCACTCTTACATTAAAATTGGCCTCTTTTGCTATTCCTTCTACAATACTCTTATGTCTTGACTGTGCAGTTTCATTGGCTGTCTTCCAAGCCTAGAACTGGGAGACGAGGAGATAGATCGTTAACAGCTACCTTGACTTCCTTCAAGTCCTAGTCTATCTTCTAAAGGAAGCTTTTCTAGATCCTCCTTAATTCTAATACTTTCCCTCTGTTGATTATCTCAAATTTATTATATAACTATATCTGTCTATATCTTGTTTGTACGTAGTTGTTTGCATGGTGTCTTTCTCACTAGACTGTTTGCTCCTTGAGGGCAGGGACTGTCTTTTGTTTTTCTTTGAAACCTCAGTACTTAGCACAGTGACTGGTCCATAGTAGGTACTTAATAAATACTTACTACCTTGATTTGACTATTGCCTCTCTTGTTCTGGACGTCACTTTTATTAATTCTACTTAAGATGGCACTATTATCTTTGAGGGGGTTGGTGGGCTGCCAATGATATAGAAATTTTTTAACTCTAAGATGAATGCAATATAGAACTTCAGAGCAAAGGAAAAACTCAATTTAGTAAATACAACGTAATTTCATTTTGAACATTTGTGTAAATCAATGTATAAGTAGAAGAAATTATTCTTTCATTCAACAGACATCTATTTAGTCCTTACCATGTATAAGAACTGGTAGGAGGCATTATGAGGGTAAAATCTGGCAAACTTACAATCTAGCATTCAAAGTGGCCAAAGGAATAGCTAAAGCTGTCTAGAATTGCAAGTCACCTTGAAGAGTTTCTAGTCCTAAGTACAATTTTTTTTTGAGTTCTAAGCTCAATTATAATGATGAAAAAAAAAACGGAGTCCTAGAAATACAAAATAGTTTGCTTCAGATCATATGTTTGGGAAGGGTCAGAGGTAGGAAAAGGCCCCTGGTTAGTTGATTCTCAGTCTTGTCACTCTCTCTACCACTCTTTAAACAGTTTTGTTTTTATTTGACAAAACACAGGAGTACATGTGTCCTACATAACAGAATTATCAGAGAGATAAATATGATATACATGGCAGGCATTCAACTAATTCATTCCAGTGATTGATTGTCTAGAATATATGCATTTGTGCAACTTAATAGACTTGGAGTTACATTGAATCTTAGAGGTCAACTAGAAGACCTATGTAAAGTAGTTAGTGAGAGGGCTAGAGTTTGATCCAAAGACTTTTGATTTCAAATATGATGCTCCTAATTTACCATGTTTGTAATTATTAACATGCTTGATTTTGTAATGTCCTGCGTATTTACTTTGCTGAAATTTATAGAACACCATTATGAAATTCTCAACTGGTCAACACAGAGGTAGGATCAGTCTGTTTTTCTGATGTTTTCAGAGTTAAAGACATAGGCATTAGAGACGGACATGTTTTTTTTTTCCTTCACTTAGAATCTAAGTCCTTGGATGCAGCCTTTGGACTGAGTCCAAGTTCTACAGAACAAATCCTTTTATTGGGGAATTTGTTCTGTGAAGTTTGGATTCAGTCAAAGGGCCACACTTGAGGATCTAGAGGGCCTCATATGACCTCGAGGGCAGAAGGTTCCTTACACCTGACTTAAACCCAGAGATGTAGCCAAGTATCTTTAAACCAGTGACCAGATTATATTCTTTAGCTTTCCTGCCTTTTTGCTCTTCACATCCTATTCCCTGCTAAAGTCCCAAACATCTACCACTTTACTTGATCTATCCTGTAGTGATTTCACACCTGCCACAACTTTTGCATGGTTCTACCTTTTGGATGTTTAAAAAGGTCAACAAAAATTTTTTTTTAGAATAAATGCTAAAATTTACATAGTTGGTACTATATGTAGTACGTGATTAATGAGTAATTAATAATGTGTGGCAGAGGTTTTTGAAAACTTCCATGGACTCCAGGGACATGGTGATTCATCACTTAGGCCTTTTCAGGATGATAAACTTCTTGGCCATGTAGTGCCCCAGGGCTGAAAGGACTTGTCACTTTGGTATGACACAGAAATCCCTGAGTGATTCCTTGATTTCCCCCATTCTTTGGAGCAGCTGGCGGTGATGCATTAGTTAAAAGAAAAAAAGAAACTTCCAGCTGTTTCTCTTTTTTTGACCCTCCAGGTGGCTTCACGTAACTCCAAGACTTCCTGTAAGGGATGGGTCTGTAGATATGCCTTTTCTCATCCTGGTAACAGTGATAGTTACAGTAGAGGCACTCCATAAAACCAGCTTTTGCCTGAATCCCTGGTTGCCTTTTCCACTTCATGTTTCTGTTACTGGGTAGGTGACTAAGAATCAATGTTGAGATGAATTTGTTCAGACTTAGAAGGGTTCAGCTGATAGTCATTAAGGAGAGATTCTTCATGAGAGGATTGAATACTGTCTAGAAGAGCAGACAAAATAACTTGGCCTGGGTGGAGAGAAGCCATTGACTTTGAGGGAAATAGTGTAGAACTAAGGTGAATTGTAAAATGTTTAATCAGTATTCTGAATACTGTTTTACAATTTGTTGAGGTTTGGGTCAACCTCTCAGCAGATTGTAACAGTAATTTTAAGTTAAGGTACTGAATCTTATTTTAAGTCATTTTTTTCCAATACGTTCTGTGAGTCTTTTATGTTTAGCCTTTCTTTTGTGTGTAGGAAATAACTGCCTGTCTTATGCCAAATTAACCTCGTGTATTGAGTACCATTTTTACTTGCTCCTTGAGAACTAGATTTGTAATAACAAACTAAGGATTAAGCAATTTTACATTTATGAATGGGGTGGCAAAGTTAACAATAATATTAATAGCTAGCACTTATATGGCACTTAAAGCTTTACAACGTGATCGACATATTATCTCTTTTGATCTCCACACCAACCCTGTCAGGTAGTTACTATTTTCATCTCCTTTTTACAGGTGAGGAAACTGAGGCACAGAGAGGTTAAATGAATTGCCTAGGGTAACAGCTAGGGAGCTTCTCAAGGCAGGATTCAAATTCAGCTCTTCCTGACTCTAAATCCTACACTCTCTCCATTGTGCCGTTGAGCCTAGCTTCCTTCTCTTTAGTGGCGAGTACATTCTACCACCTCCCAACTGAACACTTGTGACTGTGCTTAGGTCCTGAGCAGATGGGCCCCTTAGGGAGTGGTTCCTTAACGTGAGAAACGAATGCCTGTATTATTATTGCAGGGGTGAAGGATACATGCTGAGACACCCCCACCCCCCCATCCCATTACTACCTAGAAAGTGAACTTTCACCATGAAGAACTCTTCTGTTTTAAAGTCTTACAAGCTGCCTTCTGAGAAATTGGGGAGGGGGAAGGAATGTGAGTGTAGACTGGAGGTGATGGTTCCAGCGGCTGCTATTTGAGGCTGAGGGATTGCTGTGGGGCAGGCAGGGGAAGGGGGAAGCTTGCACACAAAAGGCGATTTCCGGCTCTAATTTCCCTCGCTCTACTCCCGCATCTTGGGCTATTTTGAGAAGCAGTAAAGGAGAACTTGGTTGAGTCAACGAAAGGAAGGACAGGAAGGGAAAAGAGGAGTTGAGGAAAGACGGGGAATCAAGCTTTCCCCATTTTATTGTCTTCAGCATCAACATCATTCTTATTTTGGAGCCCCCGAGGCTAGATCTGAGTCAGCTAGGGGGACGCCTCCTTCCCAGTCTGGGACGTCTAGAACAGGAACAGCAGGAGCGAGACCCTGCCCAGACAAAGGGGTCCTGGCGCTTCCGCGCAGAGAGGGAGGGAGAGACTGAGAGAGAGGGAGAGACTGAGAGAGAGGGAGGAAGGAGGGAGCTCCGGCTGCTGCCACGCCACTGTTGCTGTTGCTTCTGCAGCTACGAACGATCGAAACTCTGCCTCACAGAGAAAGTGTGAGCAGGCAGGAGCGGAGCGGGCCAAACTGAGAGCCCCAGAGAAACCAGGACTGCGAGGTCAAGCAGGCAAGAAGGCAAAGCTGGCTAGGGGAGCAGCCTCCCCGGGAGCCCAGGCGGCGGAAGAAGCGAGATACAGGCTTTGATCCAATCAGAAGACTAGATCCGCGCTGTGTTCCAACTCTCCGCCTCTCTCTTTCCCCCACCCTGCTTGTCCTTATTCTTCCCTCTCTTCTACTCCCCCTCCCCCCTCACACAACTGCAACAGCTGCAAAAACTGCTGTCGGTGATCTCGCAGGTCCTTTCGTTGGGCTGGTCGGGGGGGCTGCAGCATGGCTTTATCGTGGAGGAGCTGGTTAGCAAACGAAGGGGTTAAACACCTCTGCCTGGTAGGATGGGGGCTCTGCCCTTCTTTTCCCTTCTGTCAATTGAAAAGTTTTGATTCTTTGTGTATATGTCTATTGGAGTGGGAGTATAATGGGGTGTTTATTACTAATTGAAATGTTGCTAACATAAAAAAAAAGAGTGTATCTTCTAGGAGTAACAGTTTCTCTCCCCCTACACTTATTTTAGGCATACAATAATATGCTAATTTACATTTGGGTGCTTTATTGATCTTTATGTATAGTTTAGCTCAGCTGGCTACTGGAGGAGAATGTTGAGAGTGTAAAGTCGGCACTGCCATGTGAATATTTCTCTTCTGTTGATCAGCTCTTTTAACAATTCCCTCCTATATTTGGTGTTATTCATTCTTGTAACATCAGTAAAAGTTTTGTATGTTTGCAAGTGGGGATGACGTTAGGGATGTGTGGGTGCCTCAGGGTGTCAAATCCGGTGAATGAAGTCTAGGAAAGTGCACTGGATTAGCATTACAGGGTCTGACTCTAAATGCCAGCTCTGCAATTTACTCCCTATGTGACCCTAGCCAAGTGACAACTACTTCCTAAACCTTAGTTTCCTCATCTGTAACATGAAGGAATAGACTGAATGACGTCTGAAGTTTTTTGTAGTTCTAAACTTTGTGTAGTTACATAGGAGTGGAGACTTGCTTATGTCTCAGAAAACCTGTTTGGATCTAAAATGTTTACCATTGGGTAGAGGACCTGACTAAAGTATTTAAATTTTTTTTTTAATGATACTTGGCTTTTTGGTCAATTGAAAACACTTAAGTAGTGGTGAGGTATTCTAGTTTTTACTTATGGGTTTCATTGACTTGATGTTTGTTTCTTTTGTTTTGATTGTTTTAGCTCATCTGGCTCTCTCTCAACGTCCTCCTTTTTTGGAAAACCTTCCTGCTGTATTATCAAGGACCAGAGTATTATTATCTCCATCAGATGTTAGGGGTAAGTGTGACTCAACTGATGATCTTTGACCATACCAATGAGGCTGGTATAAGGGGAGGAAAGGAAGAGAAGAGTATGGGAGTCAAAATGTTGCTGAAGATCTCTCTTTGCAGAGAGAAGTTAAGACAGATTTCTTGCCAAACACTTTACTTTTATTTCCTCCAGGTAGGAAAGGGTAATGTTGTTCAAGAACAAAGGGAATTGTCTAATCCGTGGAAATGAATGAACTGCAAGGACCTTAGTCTAGTGCTTCGGAAAAACCTCTTTTTGCTGCCAGATGCAGGGAGCACTTAAGGATTTGGCACACAAACTTGATCAACAGATGACTGAGGTTTTAGTTTTCAGTCATCCAAACTTTAGCCAACCTGTGAGCTTATTCAGAGGAACTTGGGTCTTTTGCTGCCAATTCTCAGGAAACATGTGCTTTACAGAGCTAGTTAATAATCCTGGCCATCTCCTAATCAATTAACTGACAATGTCAGTGATCTTGACTTATTACAGAAATGTTACATACTGTGCAAAATTTCCCCTAAATCCATTCTTGTCTAGTGCTTCCTTCTTTCTTTGCCATACATCTCATAATTCCTTCTTTCCTATGCACCATAGAAGAGAGAAACAGAATTAGGAGAGGCACTTTTCTTATGTATCTAAATACTTTAGAGCAATAGGATTGAATTATGTCATAGGAGTACCAACAATTTTGCCAACTTTCACGATGTATTCCAGTGGCTAAGAAAATGTTCTATCTTGGTGATAGTGAACACAATATTTAATGTCTTAAGCTATTTCACTTTAATGTCTTAAGCTATTTCACTTCTCTTCTTCATCTTCTCCCCCTCACCCAAAACAAAGCAAAATAGGTCAGAGAATTCTCAGTATGGAAACTATATCCATCATGAATTTGTACTGATCAGTAGGTCCTCTATAATTTATATCCTTGCTGCACTATACCTGCCGGTGATCATGGAAGCTAACAAATGTCGTTGGTAAGTTTTGAACCCAGGGCTTCCTGACTCCAAAACTAGTCCTCTGTCTACTGTATCATGTTTTAGTCTGGTTGTTATTAAGTAGTTGTCATCATTTTGAACTATGTACTTTCCGAATGAGATTTGGTAAATTTCCTTATCCTTGATGGCTCAGATTCGTTTTGCATAAGGATTAAATTGGGACCTTTAGAAGGAATCAAAAGAAAGGCATAGTGCTGCTTTTCATAACCTTCCCTCCCCCCACCCCCAACCAAACATGATTGATATTTAGCATTGTGGGCTGGCTAGTTTAATACCTTGGAAGCTTAGGTTATATTTGTGCTTGTGACTTTAAAAGATATAGTACTCTCAAGGAAATATCTTATTAATTTGTCAGTATGGGCAAGGCAATTTACTGCTATTTGTATTCAAGGAACTATGCTTGATATTGGACAATTTTCATTTAATTCAATAAACTTAAATCCTGGGATTTAAAGCTAGAAAAATGACCCAGTTTTTTCCTGAGATGGCTAGGTAGAATAGAAGAGACCCAGAGAGTTTAAGTGATATTCCCATTATAGAAGGGAACAGGAGGATTTGAACCCAAGTCCTCTGATATAAAATCCAAAGGCTTTTCCATTTTAACGTGCTGCTTCATTAAGTGACATATAGCCTTTTATTTCTTCTCACTTTTTTCTACCTGAACTCTCTCCCTCCCTGCCCCTAAACTTTTTGTTGCTGCCAAAATTGTCTTCCTTATAGATTGATCTGGTTGTATCGTTTCCCTAATGTTAGTGACTTCTTGGAGGTTCATTATTCCCTAATAAGTAAAGTTCATACTCTTTAGCCAAGCATTTAAGGTCCACTATAATTTAGTGTCAACCACCTTTTTTGCCTTTATCTCATACTTATGCTTAGTACTCTACTATACAATTCTAGTAGGCCAGACTTCACTCAAACTGGAGTACTCTTTGTTCTCTAAATACACTCTATGTTTTCCCCCCTCCTAGCCTTTGCTCATGCTGTTCTCTGTGGCCCAAATGCCCTCCCTTTTAACTTTTAAAATCAACTCTAGTGTTACTGACTTTTTAATATATCATCATATTTTGTCACATTCCCCATTTGTTAGGTTCTTTTCCTCTGTGGAGCTTCAAATGTAATTTGTGCACCCATTTTAAATGTATTTTTGTATTAATTTGTAGAATAGTTATCTCTGTATATGTTTTATCCCTCTACTAAACTGTAACCTTCATGAGGGCCTGGACTAGTTCTACTAGTTCTTATCTAACCTTTGTGTCTTACACACACACACACACACACACACACACACACACACACCCAGTGTTTCCTCATCAAGAAGGGTCACATTGTTGAATTGGATGCATTAAAGTTTGTCTGAGCTAAGTTTTTCTTTGGGGGTTTGGCTCACATCTTTGATAATGAAAAAATAAGAAAACTCTTAAGATGCAAAGCTGGCTCTTGTTCAAGAGTTATGCATTATGTTAATGTAAAATTTCAGGGCAGACAACTTGAAAAGCTAAAATTGAACTTTGGAATTTAGTTCTCTAGTAGTCAAGATTATAACATGCATAAACTCAGGGGATTGTTCTTGTTTTTTTTTTTGATAGTTTGTGGGGTACAGGGACTAATTACTGTGGGCTTGAGTTCTTTGGAACGTGATTTCCAAAAAAAAAATTATTCTTGTTTTTTAGTCATGAAGTTGTTATAAAGACTTATGTAGCCTGTGTGTATTTGTGTGTGTGTGTGTGTGTGTGTGTATGTGTGTATGTGCATACTCTTTTCTGTCTTGCTTTCACCTCATTTTTCTGCAGTTCTCCAGACAAGAAGTATGTCATGGTGGACATAGTGGATATATAAATATATGTATATATGTGTATATGTATACATGCATGTATATGTAAATATGTATAGGCATATATGTGTGTATGTATATATGTATGTATGTATATATGCATATACATACATATATACGTACATATATACATACACACATATACATATATACATACATATATACATAGACATATACATATATATTTATATATACACATACAGTGCTAGAATTGGAGCAAGGAAGACATGAAGTTAAATCCACCTTCAGACACTTACAGGCTCTGTTAGCCTATGAAAGTCAAATAATCTCTTTCAGCCTCAGTTTCATCATCTATAAAGTGGGGATAAAAATAACAACCTACTTCACAGGGTTGTTCCGAGGATCAGTATATTTAAAACACTATTCAAACCTTAAACCTTATGTAAATGCTAATCATTACTATGATTATGTTAATGAGATTCCAAAGTAGTAAAGTAGACATTTACAACATGAAAGCCATTGAGGGGAGTAAGAAAAGTAGGATGGGCAGGTCACCCTAAATCAGCTTTTATAATTATATAAGAAGGGTCACAATAGATCAGACCATGGGTTATCCAGCCCAACTTTCTATCTTTGACAATGACATTGAGGAACCTGTGGCAGTAAGGTATGGTTTCCTCCTTGGCATCAAGCATGAAGGTAAAAGATTAGATCCATCGATCTCCCAGCCCCTGAGACAGCATGGTATAGCCGAGAGAGGAATTGTTGTTATTTGTCCTTTGTTCTGGAAGAAGACCATAAGATCAGGAAGGTGATGCTATGACATGCAAGGGAATTGGATTTAAGTGAGGGAGGGCTGTGCAAAGTCACTAGCCTCTTTCTCCTCTGGAGCCATCTAGGTCCAGTGGCCAGATACAGATCAGGACAACTGGAGATGGCCCAGGATGTAGTAGGGGACCTTGACTTTTTCAAGCTAAGGTCTTTAACAGGTCTCAGTTTGACTGATTTTAAGTTAGAGGACTTCATTTGAACCTTTGGTTTAAATATCACCCTTTCCACCATTTGAGACTTGCCAGAGCTTGTCTTCACGACTTTATCTCTTTCATTCCTTTCCAGTCTTCTTCCATATACAATTCTAAAACCATACTGGCTTACTTGATGTGTTCCTCACACATGATATTCCATTTACAATCTACATGCCTATTCACTGGCTATCTCCCATGCCTTTGTCTTAGAATCCTTGGCTTCACTCAAGATGCATCTCAAATAACACCCAGAAGATCTTTCCTGGTTCCCCTCAACTGTCAGTGTCTTTCACTTCATGGCTGCTATCCATCTTCCTGATCCCTCTTGATGCTAAGTGGCTTCCCCCGAAGATTTCCTTCAATTTGCCCTGTATATAACTTGTAAAGACCTAATTATTTACTTGCTTTCCCTCCCATTAAAAAATGAGCTCCTCAAGGGCAGGGACGATTTTTGTCTTTCTTTGTATCTTCAGTGGTTTGCATATGGCTTGGCACAAAATAAGAGCTTAATAAAAATTTTGTTGACCTGTTGACTATAGAGCTTATATATACTTACTTATGTACATGCTGTGTTCCCCATTAGAATGTAAGCTACTTGAGAGCAAGATCAGGTTTTGCTTTTTCTTTGTACCCACTCAGTTTAGCATAATGCCTGACATATAGCACGTAGTTAATAAATGGTGATTGAATGATTAAGGGGAATCACTTTTCCATTGTGTGGAGGATGAATTGTAGTGGAGAAAGAGTTCACTTACAAAGATATAGCTATGGTTGAGGAGAGTGTAATAAGGGCTTGAACCAAAGTGATAGCTGTGTAAGTAGTTATAATGAGTTAGATGTGAAAGGTGGTAGAAGAATAAGTAATACGTGGCAACTCATGGGTATTGGATTGATGGGCAATGAGGTATCATGGATAATGCTGAGATTATCAATCTAGGTGACTAGAAGCATAATGGTGTCCATTCCAGATATAGAGAAAACTGACACCATGAAAACATTCCTATGAGACTATTGATATAAATAAAAAAATCTGATAATTTCAGAATACTAAAGTTAGGTGGCAAATCAGAAATGTATCTTTATCCTGGGATGCCCAATATTACATGAAAAAGTAGATTAGGAATGCATTGAACAAAGTGCTAGGTGATTTCTTGGGGTAAAAGTCATTGTTTACGT